CCAACTTTTGACATATTCGGAAAATGGGATGGCCATTCGGAAAATTACGGCAATAATAGTATATGGTTTTTGTACGAAAATCATGAGATTCAGGCAATTTTTAGCTAATATCTGACTTTTTGTATGTCCGGAAAAAATTTTTGACAAAAAAATTTTTTTGGGGGGGGCCCATTTTTTGGCCTACACCCCCCAACTATAAATGCTAGCTACGGCACTGCTCTGAGGCTAGTGAAATAACCTCTTCCGCAACATGCACGTACGCGTCTACTATCGTCAAGAAACAATCAATACGTATAATCGTTGTGGTCTGTGGGATTTGAATTCAATAGTTTAAACCTTGCAGTTTTAGGGAAGCCTCACATATCGATTTTTTCCACAAGAAACGTCATATGTTCGTTTTGGGGGTGGGGGAGGGGGGTTTACAGCTGTGACGTTTCTCTGTAAATATCATGGAAAAGTTCGATAGTTTTTTCGAATACCTTAACATTTCGGAATCAACTTTGCAGATCGAGTATAAAAAAGAAAACAACTTGAAAGAAAACGACTATTCAAATATAAGGGCTGGTAAACTAAAAATAAAAACTCCTTATATGGATAAACATTTATATAAACGTTCATTTCACATGTACACGCACGCTAACAGCTGCTTAATAATTAACTTACGTATTTGTAAACATCAGTCGATAAATAAAATGGTACATTAATATGGACAAAATGGATCAAAACCTCTGAAAACAGCAGTTGTAGTTCCAATTCTTTTGGGGAATTTAGTAGCAAATATAATCCTTCAATAGCTCATCGATTTGTATATGTTAGCGCTAAAGTCAAACGGCCGGGTCGTAGATCACGTTGAATAATGATCTGAAGTTATCATGCAACCGTCAACAATGTCTCAAAATACTGGATGTTTGATGATTTTTTTTACAAATACACTGGGATTTCTGGACCACTTTTAAACTTAGCAAAGCGAAAAGTCCCCATTCAAAAATATGTTTTTTCTCAAAAGGTAAAATACTTAGAATACTTGATTAAATTGTTTTAAACTTCGACGGTGTATAAATTAACAGCGTTTGACTTACAAGACGTCAAAAACGGACGATTTCAACGCGCTGTCGTTTATCGCGTATTCATTTGCCAAAAGAAGTATTTACGTCAATTGAAAGCTTGTTTATTAAAGAGCCAACTAGTAGAAGCATGATCGATTTGGAGCTTTATCGCATGGTGAAAATCGATTTTGTTAAGAGGGTATCGTAAATGAAGTAAGATAGTGTGCTCCAAAACTACGATTATTTCTATTCCTAAAAGTAACTCAGATTTCCTGTAAGTCATGTACACAGTCCTTTGAATAACCGAAAACAAGATTTTTGGGGTTTTAGATCGATTAGAAACGGTTGTCGTCGTGAAATTTATCTGTAAAATCAGCGCATATTTTCCCAGAAAAAATGGCGATTTAGGGTGGTCGTGTTAAAACGGCATTTTCTCAAAGTTAAAAAAGCATTTGACCTAAAAAATATATGGTGCATTTTCCGATATAATAAGGTATATCTGGGCAAAATTTGAGCAAAATCGATTTTTCAGTCGTGGCCGCTTTATGTTTGATTTTTGTGGACATCCTCTCTTAAGTTGTAATTGTGCTCAGAACAGTAGATCTGTAGAGAACAGAATTGGGATTAAATTAATCGCTGGAAGTAGTTAGCATTGCATAATTTAAGTACTGCAACTAAATTCTAACCCATTCTCGTCCCCAGAGCCATTTTCACTCGGTCACTCGTTGAAAATTAAGCTCTGGGACAGACGACTAAAGGAAGAGATCTGATTGGCTTCTCAGAGAACTGCTATTTCCCAGAAGTTGAGCAGTTTTCGCTTAGCAAAATTATTCTATCAACATATGTCAACACAAATACTTCGTTTCTTCTTAATACTTCACTGTGAAAATTCTTACGGGTGCTAAAGTGTCCCAATTCAAGAACATGCGCTTTAGAAACTACTGCAAGTTTTCTTGCACTTCCGGTTCCGGGTGTCCCAGGGCCTAGGGAGGACGCACGCGGCCGAGAGGCCCTGGGGACGAGGATGATTCTAGCCAAATTGCAAATTTCGACACGTCATAATGCCGTTTCCTGACCATCAGATTTCTGTCAAATCTTCCCCCAAAGTCCAGGAAATGGCATTTCAGAGACTCTAAATTAAAAAATTTTCCTGGGGGGCATCCCCCGGACCCCCCTAGACAAACCTCGCACCTGCGGCACTCGGCTCGTGCCTTCGGCCTTCGTTTATCAAGTGTAACATTATAGGGGCGCATATTGGTTGACAGCCCACTGGCCCCTCCAGAAAAATAGTACCCAGCACGCCACTGCCAACCCACAGCTAAGATCGACACATGTCCAATCAAAAGAGTAAAATGCGCAAAAGTGCTATAGGAGTTGAAATCGATGAGAACCTAAACTGGGAAAAACATATTGAATATCGCTAGTAAAGTATCTTGGGGGATTGGTGCGTTAAAATTAAAACTTAACTTAAAGAATTTGTAAACCGAGATACATTAGTGCTGGTGTACAATGTATTGATCCAGCCTCAATTTGATTACTGTTGTTAGGTTTGGGATGAGCTTGGCAAAGGCCTCGGCAAACGTCTTCAAAAATTGCAAAATCGAGCGGCTAGATTAATTATGAATTTTAAAAATGAGCATGGACAATCTATTTAGCTTGAACTGCTCTCGGTTGGACATCTCTTGAAGAACGCAGAGCGTTAATGATGGTCAAACTCATGTACAAAATAGTAAATCAATTAGCTCTAAGAGGTTCTTCAACTGGGCTTTTTATTCCAAGGCCCAGCACAGACTTTTTTTAAAAAAGTTTCAGTTACAGTGGGGCTAAATTATGGAATAGAATACCAGAAAATATTCGAAATTCGATATCTTACAACTTGTTTTGTAAAAACCTTTTCTACTCGCCCTCGGCCTCTCAATTATTAAATTAAGTAGTTCAGTTAAGTGAATATTTAATAGCATTTATATAATAATAGTTTGTATGTATTAGGGACCGGTCATTATTTATGGCAGGGGTGGGGGCCGAAGAGAAAATGGTGGGGTAAACAAAAATATTGGCATGTCTTGGGTGGGGCAAATGAAAAAAATATTAAGGAGAAAGGTGGGGTAGAGAAAAATTAACCATAACATTTATTAAATCACAAATATCAAATTACACAGATATATTCTGACTCTTGTTAAATGTCATCTGTCAAAATGTCAACAAGATCTTCATCACTACTGCTACTATAAAGGTAAATTTCAGCAGCATCACCACTGCCTCACTCACTCAAGATCTGTTTCTTTCGCTTAGTCTTATACCTCTGCTCGATAATCCTCCTTGCCTTCCTTTTTCTCTCACTAGTTTCAACACAACTGTTATCAAACCTTTTATGCAGCTGATGCATGACATGTTCAAGATCCATAGCAAGTTTCTCAGTGTCTTTTAACATTCGATCAATCTTTGTTAAAGAGGTTTCCACAAATGAGATTTCGCTGCTTGCCCATGATTTAGGGAGTACATCTGCATCAAACAATTCCCTTTTTCGATTGTTAAGCTTTTCCTTGATTTTCTCAATTTCATTAAAGGTGCCCTTTACATGATGCAATGCTCTTTGACACTTGGAGACATCCTCTACTTTAACATCTGTAGGAAACTCTCTGTACCTTAAACAGTTTAGGTTTTCTTTAGGTATGGTACCTTCCTTATATGAACCAACATTCTTTCCAATTTTCTCAATATCGGAAGAAATTTCCCATTGGAATTTCCTCTGCCCATTAAGGTAGGCCTGAAACCTTGACTGCTTGCTCACATATGCAGCTTTGTAAGTTTCTTCAGTTATGGAGTTGAAAAACTTTAACCTGTCCGATTTGACATTTGGTATGAGGTATTTTTCCATGGCTCTTGTGTTTGGACAGTTGCATTCGTACCCAGGACAAATTTTCCACCACTGAAGGTTATCGCTACATATACAATAGAAAAAATAAAAGCTGAGAACTTCATATTTTATATTGACTAATCAATTATTTTGGTTGTACTCCAAAACTTGGTTTGAGTGGTTTGATACTATGTACAAAAACCTTACTGGCTGAGACCCTTGACCATCTAATATGTTTTCCAAATACACAACACAGTAATATGTACTTACTTTTTTGGATTTTTGTCTGTTTAATTGTCCCACAACTTGTGGGTATCGCTTTGTCCACCGTTGCTGTTTGCTTAGCAAGAAGAGAAGACATGGCTTTTTTAAACTTCAGGATGTGTCCTGGTTTTCGTGACATGCCGACCAAATTGAACATTTCCTGATGCTCTTCGTCAGCTAAAGACTTGATAAAATCAAGATCATCGTAGCCCGAGTCTTTGAAATGTTGTAGATATTCATTTTTTAAGTTTACAGAGTCGAAAAAAGGGTTATCATTCCATGTTTCGCGCACCAGTATAGGTTAGGTTAGGGGTTAGGTATTAGGGTTAGGGGTTAGGTTAGGGTTATAGGTTATGGTTAGGTTTATGGTTGGGGTTAGGGTTAGGGTTAGGGTGTGTTATGTGTATGGAGGTATCTAGTTAACTTTACTATAATATCCATTACATAACGTTTACTATATTGGTGCGCGAAACATGGAACGATTACCGAAAAAAGTGTCAATGTCATCCATGTTGACTGATATATTTACATTTTACAATGAGAAGCCATGCGATGTTGAGTATTATCGACAATTTCCGAATGTGCGACGATTCTATTCCGACGATCCCGAGAGTGACACGAGTGAAGGAGCAGTGGAGCACACGGTCACAGAATAGGAAGTTATACCAGAAGCGTAACTCGAGCAAATATTTGTCCGCGTTTTTACAAGCGATTCGTCATCAATCACGCCATCCTGGCTAGTACAGCCGGCACTTTGTACCTACCAAATCCTGATAAAAACTTCCGGCTGTACTAGCCAGGATGGCGTGGCCTGACGTGAGCGAGTTAAAAATTTTCGTGGACGTCAAACAATAAGGGAAACGACTAGAGTTACGCTTCTGGTATAACTTCCTATTCTGTGACACGGTATTCAATATCAAAAATATCATTCCTGTTATGACAGATCCTCATTTACATGCAAATTCAGGTGAGTCATGCATATATCAATATTTTAATATTAAATCGTGTTGCGACAAATAAAAAATGAAGTGTATCTAAAAGTCGAGGGTCGAGAGTATAGTTTGTTTTAAGTGAGAGGATTAAGGCATATTATTTGACCGAAGACAAAGCAGACCAGTTCTTTTCAAATAGAGAATACTTGTTGCAGTATCATACAGCTTCAACGTAACACCTGTTGCTAAGAATACTGTTCCAGGTGCTGCATATTTTGCAAAGATCATAAAGTTTTTTAGTGACCACTACAAAGTCGGAGAGCTATTTATGGAGTTCACAAGGACTAGATGCAAAGATAAACATTGTGATTATTGCCTTACATGGAATGGTCCTCCTATGAAGGGAGTTTCCCAACCTCTTCCTGATCCTCAGAGGCCAATGCATTACATGGATGTCAGTGTAACACCCACTCACACAGAAGGTGGAGAGGAACGAGAAGCTGATGATTGGCAACCAAGGGCAAACATAACAAAGATGTTCAACACAGAGTCCATCTCCCTAGATCAGCAAGACTTAATTACGGAATTTTCAGATAAGTTCTGTGTCAAAAGGGAATATGTAGTCAACTATATTCAACATCTGACCAACCTTCATCATACCAAAGGTATTCGAGCAAGGCAAAGAGCCAGAGATAAAGTTGAAAGGGAAGGCAAAGATTATGATGACTATAACTGGTTAGATTTAGTGGTGAATGGGAAACTGAAAAGCCTGAAAGTTGTGGAATTAGAAAATACCTGGATAAAAACAAACTGAGCAAAAAAGGGAAGAAGGCTGATGTGCTTAGAAAGAAGCAGAATGATACGATTGAAAAGGTGATTGAAGAAACTGGATCTGACTACAATAGTGACACAGGTATAAACAGTGACAGTGATGAAGATGTTATTTTGGATGAGTTTGGTGATGATACCAGCAGTGAAAGTGATGAGGAAGTTGACCAGACCGCAGATGAGACCGCAGATGTTGAATCTCTTCCATGGGTTGTGAGGACTCGTTATGGACGTCATGCGGGACATTGGAATCTGTTCCAGCTTAAGTGAATTTGCCACATTCAAGTATCAGCATAGTATCTATTCCATCATGACATTGTGTATTCATTGTGAACTATTTAAATAGCTTTTATATTGCTATTTGCTAACATTTGGGAGTATTATTGGCAGTCAATGGTTATTACGATATGTCATATACAGGCAGTTCCATAGGGTGGGGTAAGTTTTTTTTCTTCCATTTCAAAAGTGGGGTAAGGAATTTTTCCTCTTAAAAAAGGTGGGGTCAAAAAATATTTCAGCTTTGAAACAATTTCTCTTCGGCCCCCACCCCTGCCATAAATAATGACCGGTCCCTTAGTAAATTAGTTTTAAAATTGTAACAATTGCACACCTCTCATGGAAATCATCAATGTTGAATGGGATTAGTTTGCCTAAATAAAGTTTATCTATCTATCTATCTATCGATCTTTAGACCTGCCAACTCTTCAGAATACAAATCTGGGGGAAACGCCTGAGTTCATTATCAAATCTATATATGTGTACTGGTGATATTTAGCTTTTACTTCTAGTCATCTACTGGCACTTCATTGCTGTTTTAACTCACTCATCAAAATGCTTTGACTCATCAGTATCTGCAAAAAGCGAATTACGATTCGTCGACTGAAATTATCGTCATGAATTTTCCAGAAGCAATTTTGATTTGATTCATGAGGATCTCGTGTAGCAGGGAAGATAAGACACGATGTTTTTTATGTTTAGCGCAATTTTGTGCGTGCAAAGGAACTTTTAAAAGCTTCATTCAAACTGGATCACTTTTTCCATTTCAAACTGGATCACATTTTCCATTTCAAACTGGATCACTTTTTTCCATTGCTGGAGAAACCAGCATATTTTCGATATTTGTCTGGAGGTCGTGAGAAAAGCGGCGGAAAAACCGAGAGTCTCTCCCGGCCAAACTGGAAAAAGGGTATTACCTTAACCTAATCCTACTGTTTTAAATCAAAATCTTTCGCGTAACAAACGTCCTGATTAACTAGTCAGTGAATAAATGCATGCTTTTGCTACCAGTATCCAAATTCTTTCTTACTTTAGTGTAGATTTACGCGATAGTGGAACGAAGTAATCATACAGAAAGCAACGATCTCTTGTCGGTTAAAGTGTTATCTCTAGTCGACGTTTAAATGCGGTGTGAAGTAATTTAGTTAGCTGGGCCGAACCGCCAGACCAGACTGTGACGAGTTCGTACAGCGCATAAATTGAAACAAAACACTTGTGTATCGGGCTAAATTATGAGAAAATCGCTGATACTATACAAGTTCCTCCACCTCGGATGAAATAAACAACTATAATTGCGGCTTGCATTTCGAAATACGGGAAACAAACTAAAATGGTTGTCCTCCCAGTTCATGTTCCGGGGACATGTAGTGCAATTTCGATTTTCGTCTCGCTCTGAATTTGTCCCTGGAAATCCCCCAATAATTTGTTCTTGGATATCCCCGGAGGGATATAATTCCGGCCGAAATTCAACCCCCCCCCTTCCGCTAAATTGCCGTCTCCCCCTCCCCCCCTTTTACGACTGAACAACCAAAGCACAAGTCATGAAACGGAGTCTGCGATACACGTATTTGACAAACTCCTCATGAAATCTCAGTCTCACGCGAATCATGATTGTATGGTCGGCGTACAAATAAACTTCTGAATGTTGAATTACATGCACATTTGACAATTTTGGCGATTAGTGTCACTGCTGAAATTCCTGAGACGTTTGCAGGTCACTCATGGTTACCTAAAATTTACATCAAAGCAAGCAGTGACGGCGGAACAGTTTTTATTTAAGGGGGGGGGAGCTAATTTCCATACATTCATTAAAATGTCCATATAAATTTTTTTCCCGGAAATGCTCGCGACGGGGGATAAGAGGCAAACATTTTCTGGATCTAACATATATTTCCTACTTAACTTAGTATTTATAATACACGTGCCGGTTTTATTTTTCCTTGCCTGAACTTTTCCCAAAAAGTTGCCCAATTTTTATATACATACTGCAAAATTTGGACCCCCTCCTCTTTTATTTTTGGAGGGGCTATAGCACTCCTAAAGCCAAGTGCAAATGTAGACTTTGTTACATATTTGCAATATTTTTCAGGGGCGTCGAAACCCGGGGGGGGGGGGCGGACCCCTACCTTTTTAGTTGGAGTGGGCCTAAATGTCTTTGCCCCCCCCCCCACACACACTTTTTAACAGTGGTCAATAATAAACCGCAAAGATAATTGCTATAGTTTCAGTTACGCCTTTAGGCAAAACAATTTGAGATACTGTATGACTCGTAAATCTCCTTCTAAAGTGCAGGAAATGGCATTTCAGAGACTCTAGTTTTAAATTTTTCCGGGAGATGCCCCCGGACCTCCCTTTAATGTTAGCCGCCTTCGGCGGCCGCGAATTGTGCCCCCTCCCCCACTTTTAGAGCCGTTCCGAACGCCCCTGATATTTTTGAAGCAATCTGGAGATAATTCTGGGCTGTCAAGCTGAAGACATAATAAACCTGTATGACAGTGTATTCATTTTAAGTAAACTTTACCGTTTGGGTTTGTGTCACATGATTTATGACCATGACATGAATTTTGCTCAAAAGCGGTTAATGACATCCTGTATGTAATGAGTTTTTGCTTTTGTTTCTTAAAAGGGATAATAGTACTTCTTAATCGAACAATGTTCACAACATTTCATTGACATACACCTAAATACTGTCATTAAGAGAAAATTGCAGCCGAACTCAAAATGACAAATACACACAACTACACAGACATATTCATGAGGTTCATATTTATGAACTTCGCTAGTCTTGTACTTGGTAATACCGTCTATTTATCAAAGCTGACGAAGTTTTCATTCTTCTTTAGAAGACATTAACACTCGGCACTTGAAACTAGAATATTTCGTTAAGGTCGAACAATGTTTTTTTTAAAAGTGTGCGAAAATTGTTTTTAGTTAGAACCTGTTTACTTATAGATATATTTCTGTTATACCTCAAAATGTCCAAACATATCTCTTAAAACAAATATATAATTATACCAACATAAAAGTACTGCGCCAAACGTCCGAACGGGGAGGGGTCATATTGCGGCTCCAAAATGAAGTTGGGCATCGCTTTATATATATTCGCTGCGTGAGTTTGTCAGTTTGTTCTGAATCACAAGCCTTGGTATTTAGTCCAAAATGCTATGTCATCGCGCTCGCGGTGTACTTGTTTTGCGCATGCTCTAGGGCACCGCACTGTAGTACTTGTCTGGTTCCTGAGATCTTTCTGTTACACCAGTGCATGCGGGGCCTTACTCAGTTAGTTTTTTTCTATTATTTACTGCAGTTTAATTACCGAACACCTCCAAGAGTTGCATTAAATTAAACAATTTGAATGAGCCATAGACGAGTTTTATCTTTCGGATGTCGTTTTGGATTTTCATAGCTTTTCGAAATTTCGTCTCCTGTCGCTGTTCTACTTCATAGAGGTCCATATTGTTAACTCTACTCCACCGCGTAATATTCTGTTGTGATGAAATTTATGCGAAGGTGCTGGCATTTGCTGTTTCTCGCTGTGCAAGTTTTCTCCGATAAATCCTTGTTTCGTTATTTTCGGAGTCGTTAATGCCCTCTTTCACATACATGAACTTATTATATGCCTTGAATACAAGTCTGAGCGTCCATGCTGTGATACATAACACCTTTCATAAGCTGTCTTTCTCAAGTTGGCCAATTATGTTGTCGATTTCCTTCACGGTAGTTGTCTGCAGTTGTTTGGCGTAGTGATGTCAATATTCTAATGCCCGTTTTCCTAGGAAAAATTGTTCCCGAGAAGTGACCTTTCCTTTGGGGACATCACTTTTGCTGATGTGATAGGTGATGTCGACAAAGGTTTTAGTCGCTTTGCGCGAACACATTTTCCTAGTGAAAACAGGCTGAAGCCAGAAGTTCTATTGCCCCGATAGCTTGTAAGTACACTAATCAACTTGTTGATCTCAGACAATGTTTATTGTTGCACTAAGTGTTTTTAAACTTTTACCTTACAGATTTTGAATATCGTGATCATTTGTTGCCGGCAATACATTTGAAGAGAGGCAAGAAATTATTCGGCTTTGGATGGCTTGTTTTCAAAGATAATGAAAACGTTTATGTAATGACCAGTAATAGTGTTGTCCGTCTTATTAGATCCGATCAAGTTGACAATGCTCTGGAAATACGGGTTACCCGTGGTAGAGACAAACCAGCTTATTACGATGCAACTGTAACAAATGATGACTTTGTTGTAGTTCGTTCTAACGAAGGCAATGCTTTAGATTATGTTGTGCTGAAATTGAAGACCTCACGTATTGTTCAGGAGTTGCCTTCTCAAGTTTCGAAGGCGTCTTTTGAACCGGGCCAAATAGTGCTTGTACCACATGCTAATCCTGCGTATGATATGCACATTTCCGTGCAACCATATCCTGAAGATCTTGTAGATTGGCTGAAGAGCAGCGGGAGCAGCAATTCCAGCAATATTCCCACACCAAGTTGCGAGCCCAGCATCAATTTTGACGACGCAAAAGATCTCAAACA